TTAGAAGAGCTCGATTAAGAACTTCTACTGTAAAGGCACCGTAGGAAATCATAAAATGATTAACCCTAAAAAGGCTTCTCTAAATAACCAAATATGCCATATCAGTTTCAATATCTCAAATACTCAACAGATACAATAACAATTATATGTAGATTACTGTAGAACGATTATGTGTCTAATAAATATAAATACATGTATGTAACACCTGTTCCAGGTATTATTTAATTTATCTAACTTTTAGGGTTTTGTGCATGGACTCGACGAGTTGGGGTGCTCCAACTCGTCGAGTAGAGACTATTATGAGGATGCGGGATTTAGATGCTACTCGACGAGTCGGAAGGCCCCGACTCGATGAGCAGGCGATGTAGAGAGAAACCCTAATTTTCAGGGGTTTGTACCCTATTTAAAGGACTTATGGCTCATTTGTAGCCTCCCTCATCATCTTTACAGCCCATAAAGAAACCCTAACCGCATATTTGAGCTTCCTTGAGTGTGTGTGAGCCTTAGAGAGTAAAACTAGTGCTTTTGAGAAAGAAACTTGAAGGTTGAGGAGCTTGAAGAAAGGAGAAGGCTTGGGATCTAGCACCTACTGGTTGTGAGCATCCATTTAGAGGTAAAAAGTTACCACCTTGATCTCTATTTGCTTAGATCTCATTTCATGGAAGGATATGGTCACTTTTGGGTGCAAAATGGGGTCATACTCGGATCTGGACTTATCACAAGGATATGGTTCTAGATCTGGACCTCTCTAGGTCCCCAATGAAATAAAGTTGCTCACTTTATCCAGCTTAGGCCCTTTCCATGCACTAAGCCCTTGTATGAAGCTTAGTTTTGATATTATAGCCTTGGAAGGCCTTGCATGAATAGAAAGTTTGCAACTTTACGTGGTATCTACACTAGAGGAGGTTGGATCTAAAGTTTGGGACCTTGGATCCCACTGAAAAGGGCTGAACTTGAAAGGGACTGAAGGAACTCGTCGAGTCCCTTAGTTGACTCGACCAGTAGGGGTAGGGGCTACCCGTTTTTGTGTTCTGAATGAGTGCAGTGAAGGATTAGGGTCTTGGTCTGAATGGAATTTGGGTTTATGGACATTTGATGAACTCGACGAGTCACTAAGGTGACTCGGCGAGTTGACTCGGGATTCAGTGGAATGGACTCAGAAGGAACTTGACGAGTTACAAAGGTAACTCGGCGAGTTGACAAGTTATGTAGCTAACTCGACGAGTTGCTAGATGCACTCGACGAGTTGAGGTCAACATGGACTGTTGACCTTGACTTTGACCAGGGTTGACCAATGTAAACTTTGTGGGTATTTATAGTATTGTGGGATCATGACAAGTTAATCACATGATGATTATAGGCAGTTGAGTTGGAGCAGCGAGTGGGAGATATCTGATCTTAGCTTGTCAGTTCAACATTCGACAGGTGAGTCTTCTTACCATACCAATGGGTCTAAGGCACCAAGCCGGCCCATTTTATGATATGTGGATTGTTGATTGATTGTGCGTTATGTTAGTATGACATTTGCATGGAAGACCCGGGGGGTTCCCGTGGCAGTAGTCTGAGACCACGTAGGGGTTCCCGTGGCATTTGGTATAAGACCTTAGAGGGTTCCATGACATCTTAGTATATTTGTATGTGTAGTTTGTATGATGTTTGCTTAGTAGTGAAGACCATGTGGGGGTTCCCATGGCAGGAATACCATGTGGGGGTTCCCATGACAGGCAGTTAAGACCACATGGGGGTTCCAGTGACACTAGGTGTAAGACCCTGGAGGGTTTCCATGGCTTCCTTATATGTTGTAAGCATGACTTATGTGATATATGTAGCTTTTATAACTAACAGGATATATGTTATGTGGATTGTGTGTGGGGTATGCTCTGGGGAACTCACTAAACATTAGCTTACAGTTTGTGGATTTGTTTCAGGTACATCTGAGCCCAAGAGCAAGGGCAAAGCTTGATTACGCGGCGTGCACTCTCTCTCTCTCTCATGGGTTTATAGGATACTCTGATGTTTTGGAATAAAATTGTTATTGTTACTAAATTGAAAACAATTGTATTTGGGGATTTTAGGGTCTGTGGTAAATATTTGATTTATTAAAAATGAAAAAATTCTTTTGAAAAATTGGGTTGTTACAATGTAAGAACTACCCGAAAAGAGTAAATGCTTTATGTACAAAATGTTTGTAGTATGCCAATAAAGTTAGGAGCATACCTTATAGAATGGAAATGTCAAATCAATGCTGCCATTTTATAGAACGAATGCCTTAATGTTGTATACAACAAAAAAAGGCTTAGAATTTTTGAATCAACCCTTCTACATGTTCTTGTTTGATTCTTGCTTTAGGGTAGAATCGATTCTTCTAAGGCTTGTCTGATTTGGTGTTATATATGATTATGAATTCATAATGCCTTTTGTCATCATTGGTGTAATGAAACCCATCAATACAAAGCTTTAGGGCATCCCTAGACAGTCTAAGAGTACCAATAGTATATATATATATATATATATATATATATATATATATATATATATATATGTTATCATGAGGGAAAAGTCCCTTTCTCGTTGTGAATAAATGGGAGCTTGTGCTACCATTTATGTGATAAGAACTAGATAGGATATGTGCTAGATAGTAATAAGAACTTGCCCAACCTTGTGAATCGGAAACTAAGTAGTGAAGTCAAGACTATGTGTGTATAGTGGGTCAGTAGTGTTATAACACTATTGATACATGGTACTCACATGTGACTTGACGAAATCATATAGTTTTTTGTGAATCAATTGATCAGGAGTAATGAATAGAAGTATAACATTATAGGATAGATAAGATGCCTAGTAGTTATGTCATACTGTAATGATGTGCTAGCATTTTTTATGCTTTAGAATCCTCTTAGGATGATTTAGTTAAATACACAGTGTATGTTAGCCGGATGTAAAGTTACCATATTCTCAAACACTTCATTGACATGCTAAGTAGGTAGAAAATCTACACAGTTAAGATTGGTGGTGGCATGGTCACCATCCATAAGAAGATCAAAAATGTAACCAAAAGAAGAAACACGATGGAACATTCGTTTGGACAAAGATATTGAACCTATTTCACCCGATTTGACATTCTTCTGGTATGAAATTAGTTGGTGGGTGTCAATTTCTGGTTTTATGTATGTTTTTTGTGGTTCAATTTCTGAAACTCGTGTCATTTTCTAGGTGAAGGTCTAGCCATGGACAACAAACATAAGAAAATCTTACTTGACATTTTAACAAACACCTAGTGGGTAAAAAAAAGGCTCTCGAATTTAATTTCTAGGGCTCATGTTAGATGACAAGAAACATAATCAAACATGTGTAAGTTAAGTGATTGTTGTAAAGTTGATTTCAATGAAGAAGGCAACTTATCTCGTTCACACGTTTCAGTCATGTTTATATCATCTTCTAGTGTACAACTTCATGAACAAATATCTTATTTTGTAACTATTATAAAAGCAATGGTGGAGAAAGGATAAAGAAGGTTCAATGTATCTTAAAACCAATGATGCGTAGATTGTTATCGGAGAAGGGAAGAAAAAGATTGTTAGGAGAGGGAGTGAGATTTTTTTTTCTTTCTAATTTTTAATAATTAAGTTTAGTAAAAGAAATTGAAAAAAAGGCAAATTAGTCATGTTATGTACCTCAAGACCATTCATATAATTGTTTTAGAAACCATATGTACCATTTATATAAGTTTAAAAACCAACCATTAAAACTATGACCTTTAGTAAACCAAAAAAACCATTTATATGTAGTTTTGTCAACTTTTAATTATTATAATCATGGATGCTGTTGATTTCTTTTAGTTGTTATTTTTTTCTTAGAAAAAGAAAACCAAATATGCCAAAGCTTATTATATTCTATGCTCAAAAAATAATATACATATTGAGAATCATATAGAAAAATTTATGAATAAATTTGTTGAACTTTTTTCTTTTTAGCATTATTTAGTTCAAGCGAGAAAATTAAATATACTATGTTTTAATTTTATATTTTCAATTCTTTAAAAAATAGCATTTATGTATATTTAAAAAATATATATTTTTTCGTTTCCTACGACTAGATTTGCGTTCTTTACTTGAACATTTCTCTATATATTAATTTGTTATAATACCAAAATACAAAATTTTAAGAAAAAATGTTACAATTCTAATTTAATGAGTTGATAAATACTAACTGATTATAATTTAAGAAAATAGAAGTGGTATCCGATGCTCTTCTTTTCTATTGGTAGATATGAGAATAGATGGGCATAGACCTTTTTTTAGAATAGATTTATATTCTCTTCTAGAAAAATGCATCTTTAATTATTCATTTTTTCAGAAAATACCAAAGAATATATGCCTTATATAAAAGTAATGGAGATCATTAAACGACAATTGTGGTCGTGTTCATATGCATTCAAGGAGAGAAAGTGAAAACTCTAATTGAAATAAACTCAAAATAATAAAAACATCTTATATTATAATTTTTTGGAACGGCATTTTATATTATTAATAATATACAAACTAAGTAAACTAAAGAATTATATTTTTTTTCTATAAATTTCATGGAAACAAATAGTAAAGTTTTGAATGAGGCTCTTACCTTTTTTTTCTATATACCATTCATATAATTTACCCTTTTTTTCTATATACTTACAAAATCGCATTAAACCAAAAGTTTTGGATGAGGCTCTTACCCGGTCCATACTCCATAGGACCATATACATGTTCGGATGAGTCCAATATGAATGTCTAATGGTTAAGGTGCTTCACACAAAGGGTCTAGGTAATGGCAATAATGAGTGTAGGTGTATCGTTGCACATGAAAGAAGCTAGCTAGGGGGTATTAGGAGGTGCCTTCTGTCTTTCACTTCAATTTGTATAAGTAAAATATTAAGGGAATCGATTATGTTTAATAAATTATATGAACTGAAGCTATACTAAAAACATATTAAAGTATATGTGTTTGATCAAATATTATACTAAAATCAGAAAATATATAGCGCATACAAATTAACAGTTGAATGAAATTATAAGTGGGTCCTTTGACATTAAAAGCAAAAGAAACCCAGCTCTGGAGAAGTTCGAAAAAAAGATGTTCAAATATCACAAACTCTCTTCAATATTCCTCATCATCTTCATCTTCCTCTCTTACTTGATCAAATCCCACATCTTCATCTACTATGGATGTTCTCAAGAAAAATTCCAACCAAACACCCCTTCTGAAACCAATCTCAACTCCTTACTTTCATTATTTGTTTCCTCATCCTCCCAAGCTTTATACAGCAGTTATGCCATTGGAAACGACACAAACGCATCTTCAGAATCTTCTGTTTACGGTTTGTACCAATGCCGAGGCGATTTAAGGACACAAGATTGCGCAAAATGCATTAAAGAAGCAGTTTCTGAAGTAGGGTTAGCGTGTCCTTACTCATATAGTGGTAGTTTGCAGTTGAATGAGTGTTTAGTGAGGTTCGAGCATTATGATTTCTTTGGTGAGTTGGATACGAACCTAAGGTTCAAGAAGTGTAGCAAAAGTGTGAGTCATGATGTGGAGTTTATTAAGCGTCGTGATGATGTATTGAGTAAGTTGGGTGAGGCTAATCAAGGGTTTAGGGTTGGTAGTGAGGGTTTAGTTCAAGGGTTTTCACAATGTTTGGGCGACCTAAATCCAAACGATTGTATTTCTTGTCTTGGTGAGGCTATCTCGAAGCTGAAAAGCTTGTGTCGATCATCTGAAGCTGGGGATGTGTTCTTGGCTCAGTGTTACGTGCGATATTGGGCATCTGGTTACTACAATTCTCCTCCGGGTAAAAGATCAATGATAATGTTATTTGTGTTAATATTTTATATATGTGATTTTCATTTTGATTCAAACTACAGAATCATCTGGTGGTGATGATATTGGGAAAACAATAGCCATAATTATTGGAGTTGTGGCAGGTGTTGTAGCATTTATTGTGCTTCTTTCTTTTTGCAGAAAATCATGAGGTAATTTTTTAGACTTTATAGCGTAATTGGATATTGTTTTTATAGTCAATTACAATTTTCTTTATCAACATTCAGTAACATGTGAGAGATAGATTTTTTTTGTTCCAATTATCATTCCATATATATCATATACTAGTTGTAATACCCTATGTTATACGGGTTGGATAAAACAAAAAAATTAAACATGAAGGTTTAAACAAAAAATTATTTAAATTTTAAATTTTAAATTTTAAAATTGAATTTAAAAGGAAACATATTAAATACTATATGAGTTGTAATATTGAAATTTATTGGTTATTTTCAATTAAGGCAAATATTAATTGAGGTGTAAATATTATGTGTTAATTAAGAAAAGATAAAAAAAATTAGAAAATGTCAAATAGAAAAAACATTTATTCAAAAATACCAAAAAATGAAATGTGTCTAAGAGAGAGTGAAATGTGGCAAAATTATTTTCATTTATTAGAGAGGATATCGAATGATATTTAGATTTTGTATATCTTATCTCCTTCTGGTTCAATCAATGTTTATTTATCTTGTTAATTATACTATAGTTTTGAAACTTTGTTATTTCCTACTAATTAGTTAATTCTATTAAATATCTAATAATATTTCATTTACGATATAAAATTTATAACGATTATATAATATTTTCAAAGGTATTTATTTGTATAAATATAAGGCAATAATTGTTTCATATTTTATATATATCAAATGAGGAACTGATATAGCTTTGTTTATATTTTTGTTTGTTTGTTGTATTCAACGTCTATGAAATGGTAATAGTTAAGATATGTTATTTAAAGAACGACAAACTAATTAAGTAGCATTATATAAATTTTAGATAGATGATGATCGATAAATTAATTTAAATTTATATTAAAAAACTATTGGAATATGCTAATTAACTATTAAAGAATGTAGTTGCCCAAAATCCAAATAAGAGTAGTTTCTTTTAAAAAAAATACTGTTAAAGAATGTATTAACTAAAAAGAAAGTTACAAAAGTCTGAGTCATAACATAAGTCAACTAGATACTCTTACATTCGATTGTGAATTCTTTTCTATGATTTATTCCCTTGCACTTTTAATTTCTTTGAGTATTTTTAAAGGTAATACCGATGCTATATTTCAGGTTAATAAAGTAGCCATGTAAGGGTGGCGTCCCAAATGAATTTGAAGGAAAGCTTGATGCTTAATTTAACCAATGAGCAATGCAGATTTTGAAATCACGACAATGAAATATGTCTAACATTTAACTGCCTTAAGTGTTACAATCATTTTTGTCGACGGTATCAATATTTCACAAAGAAAACGTTTGTCTAATATTTGTGTATGGTATGAAATCTATCTATCTATTTATCTATCTCTTATAAAGAAAGTCATGCAAATGAATATGGTTGAAGATAGACCATCGATCTTGAACCATATTCATTTGAAACTCATAAACTTATATCACTTAAATGATAATATAACTCAAAAGTTTTTTATCTTATGATACTTAATTGGTACTTTTGACACATGATTGGTATATATATATATA